ATATTAAAATGCCTTTCTAATTTAGACTTGTGAAGCAACATTGGAAAATTTCATCCAATAGGAGTGTAGAATGTTTATCCTTGAGAAACCAATTGCCAACAGTCATATTATAAACAGTTTGATATTCTCCTCAATACTGGAATCAAGAAGAGTAATTCAGAAACAAAAGAAACATTGAATTTCTGATTAATAAAAGTATTATCTTAAATAGATGTGTTAAATAAAAAAGCACCTAAGATCATAACATTTCAACCTGAAGCAATATGTCTCCATAAAAAGTCTCTTACAGATAAATTATTCTGAGCATTTAAGAAATTTCTCGTATAAAATGAACAATCTTCCTCCTTCTTTAAAAACATATTTTTGAGAAAAATGTAGACTGGAAAGAAAATTTTGAGCCAAAAGTCTTAAGAGAGAATAACAGAAGAAATCTTTGAGAGATGGACCAGGATAAGATGAAATAAACACACTCCAAAATATTCCTTCTGCCAAATGTAGAAAGTACTTGAAATTCTTGGAAAGTGAAGAGTATCCACCTGGGTTCCAGAAGGTACCACTACTGCAGTGTATTGTACACTGCTGTAGTGTGACAAACTCCTTCTTGCTCCCTGGCCTGTGCTCACAGACCACAACTTGGAAGCGGACACACTTCCATGGGTGGGGAGAGGAACGTGCCCTAAGTTCCTAAGAGGGTGAGCACTGCTTGTCGGGCAGCGACGTCCTACAGCAAACTTCCATGCAATGACCCACTCAACCAACAAGCCCTTGCTCACTGCTTCTCACGGACTCATCTGGCATTTGTACTGAGTGCTTGCTGTGGGCAGGCATGTTCCTTATTATTACTGTCAGTGACTAAAGTACACAGCGATCACAGCCATTCTACTACGGCAAGACACACAAAAAAGCAGTAGAGCATCTTTTAAGGTAATTTTCAAAGTGTTAAGTATTTTAAATGTAAACTGGAACTAGGAGTGCTTGGGGGACCTTTTGAGCAGGTTTGTGGAAGGGCACATTAGAAAAAAAAGATCCCAAGAACAAAGATTTGGAAAAGCTGAAGAAAGTGACAGGGTAAAGGAGCCTCCCTAAGAAGAGGAAAGACCTGTTAAAGGCCAAAGGAGGGAGGAGAGCTGTCACTGCGCAGAGCGACGTGAGGATGTTAGGGAGAATGGAGCAGAAGGAGAAAGTCACAGAAGACCAGAGAGCAATCCGGGGACAGGAAAATCATACAAAGCCTTCAGGATCCTTGTAG